TTAAAAAACTCAAAACCTCTCCAAAAAAAAAAAAAAAGAATCAATGAATAAATGCCCACCCCAAAGGTGCTTCTCCTTCTCCCGTTCCTTCTCCTGCTTTTTTCTTTTTAAAGAACCATTTTCATTTTATTTACCTTTATTTATTTATTTTAATTTGACCAAAGAGGGACAGACTGAGAGAGAGAGAAAGAGAGGGAAAGTGAGAAAATAAGCTGCTAGGTTCAGGATTCGAACCACAGTCGGCCATGTGGGAATCTAGCGCCCTTAACCACCATGCCACCTGCTGGCCCCTCTCCCTCTTTTTTTCTTATTTCTACTTATCAACATGGAAAACTCCTAGGGGTACTTCAAAACCCAGGTCCAATGTCCCCTCCCATGAGAATATTTTTGGTGCCTAAGTTCCGTGTGTCTGCATTGAACTTTCTCTGTTCTAACTGGGGCCCCAGACATGAAGGAGAATCAGTGAATAAATAGCCATGAAAATAAACAAGGGCCCCCCCTTGAATTCCTCACTCTGCTTCAAGGCTCCTCCCCTTTTTTCTCCCTGACCCTATTTTTCAACCTGGAAAACTCCTATTGATACTTCAAAACCCACCCCAAATGTTCCCTCCTTCGGGAAGCTTTCCTTGACCCATCAGGCTTTCACTCTTGGCTTCCCAGTTCCTGTGCTCCCAATTGAATCAATAAATAAATGAGTGTAAAGCCAGCAGGTGGCATGGTGGTTAAGGTGCTGGACTCCCACATGACCAACCATGGTTCAAGTCCTGGACCTGGCAACTTGCTTTCTCCCTTTCTCTCTTGCAAACTCTGTCCCTTCTGGTCAAATTAAAATAAAGAAATAAAAGTTAAATAAAATAATTCTTTAAAAATAAATAAATAAGTGAGGGTGAAAATGAATTAGTGAGGCTGCTCGGTGGCGTGGTGGTTAAGGGCGCTGAACTCCCATGTGGCCGACTGTGGTTCGAGTCCCAAATCGGGCAGCTTGCTTTCTCACTTTCTCTCTCTTGCTCACTCTCCCTCACTCTGTCCCTCTTGGGTCAAATAAAATAAATAAAGTGAAATAAAAAATTCTTTTTTTTTGGAAAGGTTTTTGCTATAGGGCGCGTGCACTCGCCAGAAAAACAAAGACAGGGAGACAGAGAGACAGAAAGTGAGAAATCACCCCCCAGGGGGGATGGCCACGCCGCAATCCCTCCTCCTCTATTCTCCTCTCGGGATCTCGGGCACGCATGCACATGCACCCGGCGTGAGTTTTAAGCCACCGGGT